TTTATGCATCAAATAAACATCTTATCTGAATCAGAATTTACGATAATTCGACCATGTTTAGTCCAAGCAAAATATTGTGCGTAAGCAGTGTCATTCTTGTCCAAGAACTGAAGGTACTCAGCAAGTTCCTGAATAGAGTCAAAGTCATCCACGTTGATGTAGGAATGAGGTGGAAGAACATTCTCGTAGTCCTCTTTGTAGGCACCCAAAACGATTGGTACCATCCCATTGCTAAAATTCAATTCAGTATCGGATGATACATATTTATGAATGTCTCCAACCCAGATATGCATTTTTTGAGACGCGTCATTATAGATTTTCTAAAAGAAATTAGTCACTACCACATTCTCTAAATGAGCAAGCACCATTTCAACTGAACAGTTTCTCAAAAGATAATTTAACTTGAAACTCCAACTATCATTGTAAACCTCATTGACGTTTTTCTACCATTTGGAAGTAATATCCAATTTAAATTTGCAGATGGAAGCTATTTCAAATCCATTTAAATGAATGAGGAATATTAATCCTCACCTTAAGGCATTTCTTTGAACTTTTTCTGTAATGTATTGTCTGCAATTGGAGTTTTCAAATGAGAGATAGAATTTATAATTTCTGGAAAGCCATTCAAATGGATTTTCCATATCTGGCAACGTCAATTTTCTATTTCTTCCATAAATATCAATCTAGAACAGGGAAACCAGGTGAAAATTCTTTTTCAATCAATAAAAAAGTATTCGAATTTGAGCAATTACCGGTACAAATTGTGCAAGGGCATCTGCATATTGAATACGATTATTTGATGGATGGCTATTTGAAACAACCCAGGCAACCAATTTAGTTCGATTCTTATGATAAGGCGGCAACAATTGTGTGTTATTTTCTGAAATCATTTGTGAGACATGTTCTTTGGTGAACTTTAATGTGGGATATGTGTTTCTGACAAACATGGGATATATCCAAGGAACAGGTGATGTTGACATGTATGTAACAAATATGTCAACCTAAAGTAAAATCGATAATTGAGAATGAAAGAGTTGGCACTCACTTGATTTAATTCCTCAGAGCTTAAGTGAGGCATGAAGATCGGACTTTCCCCACTCTCGAAGACAATAATTACACCTCTTGCTTTGAGTATATTTGCTTTCTTCACAGGAAAGTGGGTTGAGAATACTGCAGCATCTCCTTTTCTCAAATTTCCTAGATTTCGAGGAAAGTTACATTTGTATCTGCATCCATCAGGACTTGTTACATGATAGATTATCTTTCGATCGTAGTAGATGGAAGGTGTTCTACCTACTGAGAGATCATCCTGAAAGGTGGTTAATTTATTCACTTTTGATTCACTTACAGATTTATTGGAATATTCTGTCAACCATTGCAATTGTCCAACCGCGTGATGATAAGGGAATAAATCATCTCGGTATTCTTGAATAAATGCTGCAGTAAAATTCGAATATTCAAAAGTTAACTTTTTTGAGATAATTATTACTATTAGTACAAGTCCTGCTAAGAAGATGAGTATGGCTGTTTTTCTATTCTTGAGCATTATAAACAAAGCCCTCAAATATTAACAAATAAAATCAAACTTTAAGATGTGCACGGTGAGTTATTTTAATGGCCAATGAATGCGTAGCCCACATGCACCTTTACATTCTGAGTCAACTTCCTGTAGATTGAGATTAAGAAATTGCTCTGTGATTGGCTCAATATACCCAACCTAGTTACTTTCTAATTATTATTTAACTTCTCCAACATGATAATCAATTTGCGAGAATATCTAAAGTAGAAAGAGATTCACTTCGTATAATGATTGGTAATTTATTACTCAACTTTTAAACACCATATATTTTTAAATTTTATGGAATTTCATTCCCAAATGTTAGTGACATTGATCAATGGGTTTTAACTGCAGAATTTGCGTAAATTATTGGTGGGATCTAAATAATTAAATAATCGCAATGTCAAAATGATATTCCACAAATCACTAGGCATATTTCTAATTCCAATGAACGTACCCTTCTACAGCTTTTCAGTAGTACAAACAAATTTATTAAGGCTGTCATTAAATTTTGTTTTGTTCCAGAAAATAAGAAATTGAAGTTCTTGAGAAGATCCATGCAATGATTGACTTTGATTCCACCTACACCCCACAGAATATTTTGCTCCAATTTAATGTCGGAGTAAAATTTAATTTTAATCACACCATCGACTGACGATGTTTTAGTGGTGTTTCATTACGGAATACCAGATATTGAATTGATTCTAATTTTATTTGATTTATTTGTTAAGAGTCCTTCTAACAACAAATAAGAATGAAAACAAGTAAAGTGCTAGAGTGTGAACTAAAAGTCGCAGCTGAGTTCAAACTGTCGAAAACGCAACTCAGTCACAGCAGACTCATAGGTGCGACCGAATTGCTTCGTGAAGGGCGTAGGTACGGCCACGAGCGCGGTAAACCTCCAGACGAACGCCAATCGATAATTCTCTCTTGGCTTAGCAAACCCCGCCATTAGAAAATCGATGATTTAGCCACTTGACTTAAAAACGCATCTTAAATAAACGTGATCCACCTCATAAGTTTATTTTCTGTATAGTTGTACGATAAACTAGCCTGTCATGTGAGTCTTTTCAAACTAGAAGATAATTCAAGTCTTAAATTAGTAGTGACTCACTACCAAACCCTGGATGTTGTTATTGGCTATCTTCTTTAATTACACTTTTTTGTAATAAAAATGTTTGATTGTGTGGAAGTAACTTTGAATTTATGAAATGATTTTGACAAATTTCCAACATGCAAATACTTAATTTATTTATTTTTAAATTTGCTTGGAAATTCACCAAATGTCTCAAATTTTTCCCGTAAGACCCTGAATACATCAATTTTGCTTAATAAGTGACAAATAGGTAAGATATTAGTTCAAAGCGTTTCAATTCCATTGGAATTCGCTTCGATGAAAATTCCAAGTCGAGTCACTTTTTAATACAATTTGTACAAAGAGCGAACCCAAAACACCATGTTCCATAATTCTAAGTAGACTTTCTTTGTGCCACTTGTAGACTTCATCACTTTTACCAAGAACTTGGAATATGTTCCCCACGTTTCCCCATCCTCCCGTAAGTTTCTCGTAATTAACATCCAATCTGCAAATATTAATATCAAATGGCAGGCGTTTTGATGGTTTTCATTAGCCCTTTAGCTGACTTCAGACTTCACAGAGGGGAAGGAACATCAAAGTGAAAGAAAGTCAATTGCCGGTTAATAGACTTTTTTGCCGTATGGGTATACGTTGCCCAGGGTGCACCACGTGGAGGTAAGTCTATCGCACACCCCGATCTGCAAATATAAACAACTATCTTACATCACCGTCATATTGTCATCCTCTTTCCATGTGAACATGAAGGAGGGAGAGAGGGAGAATGGGGCCAATTTGAACATTTAAAATGGACGTATTCGCATTTCAAATTGGAGACACAAACACACACGAAGCTCGCCATCAGGGTCTACAATACAGACTTTTGCCAATATATATATACCAAAAATCTAACTATTTTGTATTTACTTGGCTGCTTGTTCAAAACACACATATCTCGCCTTTACACAAAGATAACTATGAAGATAACATCACTGGCTCTATTGAATTATTAGAATAAATGAGAACCAAACCAGGCAAAATCTGACCATCACCAGCAAAATTCAGAGCCAATTTATTCACTTGTAACTGGGTTATGATTAGATGAATAAGATTAAACTAATCATTTGCATCAATTTGTTTAAGTCCAATGCGGTTGATTGTTGGCCAGAAAACCTGCGTATTGATAAATGACTTTCCGTGGTTGTGTCATGGATGCGATATATCACTGACAAAGTGCCGAACTGAAGACGTGGAACTAACTCATGACAGATTAACATTTTTTATGAATGGAGTAGGATATCTGTATCACGGTTAATAAATTTCATACCTAAATAATATAAACAGAAATTAGAGTAATTCATAACCGACTATCACTCAAATTTATTCATTCAAATTTGTTTAGCGAATTGTACTAGCTTGATAGAGAAAAACGGACGCCATTATTTTGATTTATGAAACACCGATCTTTCTCGACAGTTCTTGGAAGTAGACATTTCAATGAAATAGATCATTTACGCAATTTATTTAAGCTAGTCTTCCTGTCTTTTTTAGCCTTTGAAACTATGACTACCTTCATCAAATTTGCATATTTGAAGTTTCTATTGAAGAAGATTCAGTAGCAATCGAAGAGGAAATTTCCTTTCTACTCACAAAAATAAGCTTAATTGAGTTAAACTTTGTTATGCAACATACTGAGAATCATTGGCGGTTAATGAAGATGAAATGGTCATCATATCGAAAGTCACCACAATCAACATAACCAGTTGAAAAAAGCAAGAAATGATCCATATTGAATCAAATTGAGCATAAACCACAGTCCAATTGTTATGGAAAAAGGCAAGCAGTCAATCCAATACTGTTTTGTTCAAAGTTTGGATGATCGAATACATCGATGCTCCAAGAAATTGGACTCGAACACAAATAGGGCAGTTCTAAAAGAGGAGTTGAATATACTCGATTGAATTGAATATTCACGTCCACTCCTTCTGGTTAGTAGGATTGTGTGACTCAGATGGGAAAAGTTTAAACGTTCTACTCTGATGGCTACGGAGAATGTGTGGCTAAATTCGTTCGGTCCTATAATCACTTTAATTTAAGATGCAATTTGAAACTTTTATTGCCTCAAAGTCTAACATTCCATTCCTCATGTTCACTTATATTCTATAAACATATATACGAAATTCAGTCTTATCAATATGCTAGAAATACGGTTGATTCACTGCTCAATTACACACAAACGACGAATATCTCGAACGATTGGAATAGCTATGCCCTTCTACATGCAAATGTATATGCTCCTTCTAATGTGGGCTACGGTTTTGCTAGATTTGCATCAGCAAAACATTGATGACAAACACAGGGATAAATCACATCAGTTTCATTAATATGTCGTAGTTTTCCTTCCTGCCATTATTATTATTTAGTAAGATTAGACTGGGTTCATCATATTTAAATATTTGAGGTTGTTGTTGGAGAAATTCTCTCCACTGTATTTGAGTGGGACCTTGTAGTGTAACGGACCGAAAACCATTGTTGCTTAATGAAGGTGAATTAGGCATCATATTTAATGTCAACACAACCAGCACTGCATGATAAAACGCTGTCATATCTTATTCAGTATGGATTTGAGCACAGTACATTTGGTATCGAAAATGCAAACTGCAATTAAATTTTGCCTAGAACTATAAGTAAAACACATATTTCAATAGTGAATTGATTATTTCAGGAATTTGGTTCATCTAGAAAAGTTCTCTTAAAGGACTTCTTCTTAAATATCGATATAGTATTTGAGGGTTGTACGAGAGACATACCTTCTCGTGGTGACGTGGTCATGCGGCGAAGATGCCAATAAACCGACAGATGACTTCTCACTTTAAATTACAATGACCACTTCCACATTACCCAGCTTACTCTTTACTTGCCTTTGTGTCTGTCTGTCTGTCTGTCTGTCTTTTTTACACCTTTGAATTTCTCTTCTGTTCCATTCTCGAATTTTTGTGACTTTGGTGTTCCTCCCCACTGTGAAGACCAAAGTCAGCTAAAGGGGTCATGATAACTGTCAAAACGCCTTCATTTGAAATTAAAAATATTATAATGATAATTGAAAGGTATTTTATTAACATTTCACTCAATGTCAAAAAACTGTGCAACATTTAAATGAAAAAAGACCACAATTGAACTAGTGGAACGAATTGACGAATAATGCGTTAACACTTAGTAAATGCTTATTTGCTGAATGTACACGGTTGAAATAAAAATTCTTGTCATTTTACAAACTTGCACACCACTCGATATGTCTAAGAACCGAAAGTTCAAGTGGTTTTCAATATTTCTCCAAAACCTGGGTGGCTTAAAGTGATTCAGCGTAATCCTTAACTGAGATTTCAAAGGCATAATCCTTTGAAATGAGAGTAGGTAATGAAAAGAACTTCGTAATTTTTGAGAAGAAGTGAGTTAGTGAGGTGCATATTATTTGTCAGTTCTTTTAAGTAGAGGATTACAATAGGAAATAAATTCACTCAATCATTAACTCAATCCAATTATAAATTAAATGTATTTAATGTAGTCACTTTGTCTTAATTTATCATCCTGTTAATTCTGTTTTTTTATTAAGATAAGCCCAGCTTCATACTAATTGCACATTTGAAGTTATCTCTCAATGAGAATATTTGAGTGAAATCTTGTTGCTTATCATACGAAGAAACATAGGTGATTAACGAAGGAGAATTGGACTGTCTAAGCTTGGAATGCTGAGAATTTCCTCTTCATTTCATTCATGTGGTACAGGGTCATCTTATCGAAAGCCTCCGTAGCCAAAACTCCACGATCAAATTGAGCGTAAACTACAGTTCAATTGGTATTGAAAATGCAAGCTGGACATCAATAGGAACTTTGCCAAATGATTAACAGTAGGGATGCATCAAATTGATGAACAGTAGCCACAAACACAAAGTTGAGAGTTCTAAAAGAGATGCTGAATATACTCAACTGGATTAAATATTCCTGACCACAAATTCTATTTGGTCAGATTCTGGTGTTAAAACGGAATTCACTCCAATGATCTCATTTGATGGCTATTGATGATTCGTGACTAAAATCGCTTGATCTTTTTAAACCCTTTAGCTTGAAATGCAATCGAATACGCCTATTGATAAAAGTCCACATTGTTTTGTAAACGCTGACCTTTTTCATGCCATCACGCCTACTATTCTCCCATTCCCTTCAGATGATTTATTTCAATTCGACCACGCATATTCAACGATTATTAATCTAGATTAGTTCTTTTTGAATTATAATCGAGGAATTTGTCTCTAGTTTTATGTATCCAGTAATTTATGAGAAGTTTATTCTACAAAATGTTTCTACTAAAGTGGCATTAACGTGCCAATAAAAACGTTCAGATAGACTTTTGTCCTCTGATTGGTATTATGGAATGCGGTGGTGTGTTGAAGGTAGTAAACCTAGGTCGTAAAAAAATTTATTAAAAACGAAATTTTGTATTCAAATTAAATTGTGCAAGGAGTCTAATTCATTAAGGAATAAAATGTGAAAAGAACATATTAGGACTATTTCACCTTACGTTAGAAAGTCGCATCACATTTCAATTGCGTAAGGAGTCACGTTTACTTTGGAAAGAATAACATGGAAGACTTTTGATTAGAAATCGGCATAAAATATGGAAAAATTTCGATATGATTATTTCACCTAATTTTAAAAACAGCTGGCGAGCAAACCTACAATTGAACTGGTTGAGGCGAATCGACGACTAAGAGGTCGACTCACTGTGAAGGATTCTACGCTGTACAGATCTAATATCAACAAAGGCAAGGTACTTTATTTTAACATTGTGCAAAATTAAGTTTATTAAAAATGCAAATTAAAGTGCATGAAATATATACTGTGTTTAATATATATTTTTAATTATTGACTGAATTTTGAAAGAGTTCAAGGAATCCTCAAAACAATAGAAGATTTATTCATTTGTATTTAATTGTTTAAAGATAAATTAATGTTTAATGATTTTTTATTTAAAATAAACTGGTAATTTTAAATGAATTAAAGAGAAGGTACCAATTTTTGAAATTTTATAAACTTCACGAACTGAGTAATGGAAAAAGATTCATTTTTACCTTATTGTTGGGAAAAGCAAATAGTTAACAGTATAATTGAGCACAATTTGAATTTACATGATTGAAACGATTAAAAAACCACTGTTAAGTTGAAATTTATTAAGTTAGTAAATAAAGGCAACGTTTAACGGATGACCGACATGGATGAATAGAGATAAATTCACTTTTGTACGACAGGAGGCTTCTTCTTGAGTGGAAGTAGGGGTCGATCGAAACAAAGA